CGGTAAAACGGATTGTCACGATATAACGGTTTTGGTGCCTGTCCCGACGAATCCGTTATATCGACTTTCACTGTGTACTAGAAATTTCTCGAATGTTTTCATTACTATAAAAAGTTGAGATCTGCATAGACCAAATTTGGAAAAACTCCTGACTGTAGTACGTTGAGTGAAATTCCATTAACCAGTTAAATAATAGTAAATTACTACGCCAAGTGCGAATTTTTTTTTTTTTTTTTTTAAAAAAAACAGATCAGAAACGCAAAAAAAGGGCTTGACGCTCACAACAGTTCCAGCACAAGATGTCATCACCACCACCAGAATGTCCAATGCATTCCTCTTCCTCCACTACCACCTGCCCATATACATCGTTTTCCAAACCTCAAACTCACTCGGGTGATGCTCTATCACCTGAGAATCAAATGCCCAATCTATCCCAACTGCCAGCGCCAAATCAACGCATTAGCCTCCCCACAGATCGAACAATATCATCTATTCCCAAAGCAAGCTCTTCGAATTACTGGGAGTATCCGTCTCCACAACAATTTTACAACGCCCTTGTTAGAAAAGGGTGGGAGACGCCCGAAGAAAGTATTGAGACTATGGTAGACATACATAACTTTTTGAATGAAGAAGCATGGAATGAGATTTTAAAATGGGAAAAGGAGAAGTGGTGAGTTTTCGTTGCAGAGAGGGAAATTATCAAGGAGGTGAGAATGAGTACAATGTAAATAACCAGGAAGTGAAGACGAATTAACATAGAACGAATGTAATTCATATTAAAATTTAGTTTGCGCTTTTCACAAGAAATATTTCGTACGCCAGCACCCATTTGAATCTTATATTGCTCTGATTTAAAAGCTTTAAATTCAACGTCACCGCATCTGCCGGCAACAATTACTCATTTGTTCACGCTCACTAACAGTCTCTCCTCACGTCTCTTGGCAGCGAGTGTGCCGGAGGACCAAAACTACTGCGTTTCAAAGGTAGACCACAAGACTTAAGCCCGAAAGCAAGAATGTTACAATGGGCTGGCAAGTTACTTCCTTCGTTTAGGTATGTTGGGATGACTTCGCTTAGTCTAATAAAATCCACCTTACACCTCCCCTCAACATTATCCTTCTACAACATTCCCCCCCCCCCATCTTACATTTATTACGATTATCAGCACACCATTACCATTCGACAGACATGATTGGACAATCGATCGCTGTGGGAAGCAAGTTCGTTACGTTATAGATTATTACGCTGGTCCCGATGAAGGTGATACACCTGTGTTCTACCTGGACGTACGCCCAGCATTGGATTCTTTCGAGAGTGTAACCGACCGGATTAAGGTTGTTACAAGAAACACGTTCGAGAGGTTGAGAGAGCGGATAGAGAGTAGAAATATTACGAGTGGGAGAGGGAACGGAAGTGGTGAAAGGTGAGGAGGAGATAGAGTTAGAAGAACAATATTAAAGGGAGGATGAAATAGAATCAGGAAAGCATGCGGAATGTACTTTTAATTTTAACACTTAAAGTGAAAGAAATGATCGAACGATAATAAATGGCTCCGTAGCTGAGAAGCTACGTCGGTTATATCTACTATCCGGAACGCTGTCTCGATTTAATTTGTAATAAGTGACTAGAAAACTGTTTGTATGGTTGAGAGAGAAAAAATCTTAGGACCTGACTGGTCCTAAATTAAGCTAAAAAGTCGTGGTCTGAATGAATAACCCACTCTTTCCGATATAGTTTATGTGAACCTCGGACAAGATTGTTGTTGCTCCTTTCGAGACATATTGTCTAGCACCGGACGTATTTTACACCTAGTTCTGACTACAGAATGTTGGGCTTACCAATTAGAACTCCAGTATGAACCATTTTGTTGATAAGGCATAATCACTCAAACTCTACTCGCACATTCTCTGCAGTGCGAAATTCTGCCTTAAACCACACGCCTTATCTATAGACACTGTTTCAGCAATTTGTACATGCTCAACCTCTTTGTTACAAGTCTGTTATCTTGTAATTGATTTAAAATTTATAGACTGTTTCTTGTGCATGCCCAATATAGTTACCTATAAACTGTAATATTATTACTACATCATAATTTAAGTCTTGGCGTAATGAAAATTTTGTCAATTTGGTCAATCTGACCACGACCATTACTATGGTTAATTCCTGCCATTACGCGTAATTTCCATTCTTTCAATTTATCAAGCGCTCATTAATGCTGTCAACGCAGGCTTCCCATGAACAAGAAACAAATAATGTTTAGAGTGGGACCGAATATTATTCAAACCCTTCAATTTTATACGAGAGCATTATTCTGACAAAAAGTGACACGAAAAAGATTTTGGCATTCTCACATTGTAATAGTGACTATTGCAATAGTCATCAATTAGAGTGTAGAACTGGTCAATACATTAATGAATTAGACAATTAGCCCTTTCACTTGGATAAATAATCCGGGAACGTATTTATTATATCCATCTAAGAGATACAATCGAAAAGAGTAAATGCCATTTACATGATTAGAATATCAGTTTCAGTAAACTAAATATTGCGTACTATTTGACTTTCGGCATTCTTAGAGAGAATGTAAACTTACAAACTAAAACTCAGAGATGCTATATATTTATTGCATCCTTTTATAGCTTGGATCTTGGTGCAAGTTCAAGAACGTTGTTTAATTTTGTGGAAAGCATTATGTTTCCTGTGATTTTCATTTTTCCGGTCATGAATGCTTTCTGGGCTATTGGATGTCAAAGAAAGATATTAGAATGTTATACCAGGGAAAGCGAAAACTGTGTCAGTCTCTTTTCTCGCAAGATCGTGTGTCTGTTAATATCTTACAGTTCAATTTTCCTGATGCTATTTCAATAAATACAGCGTCATCCATTTTAATCGTACAATCTGCTTTACCAGCCTTGCCAGTTTTGACTGTCCCTTCTTTCTTAAGATCTAGAGTCCATATCTGTTCTTTACCTTCGGCGTTTTTAATACCAAGTTCAAAAACACCTTTTGTCTATAAAATAAAATATTAGTACATATAGTTAGTTTTGACAACCAAGTATTCTCTGCTATTTGGGTGTATACCGTGGCCACACCGTATTCGCCTGACTAACCTTATTAATGGTTTCCTTCTTAACAGTTTCACTTTGAAGTGCCTTCTCAATCTGGTCGAAGACGACTGACGATTTGAATCCAGGAACGTTGACAGACATTCTTTTTGGTATGTTGTTTTGGCCGTAAATACGTTATTCGGGAAAGAAAGACCGTTCGATGAACAGAAAATATATAAGTGGTGATCAACGTTAGACAGTTAGATGATCAAGGGCGTACAAGATTTATGTTTATCGTCAAGTGACCAAAGAGCTGCATTGACGAGACGATTATGAAAGTTAAAAAAAAAAAAAAGAGATAATTCTGATCCTATACCGCTGAATCCATTTTACCCAGTCTGGCGTACACATCAACGATTAATCTGATCAATCGGACATTTGGGGCTGAATCTTGAAAATAAAAGGTGAATTGATCTCTTAGTATTAGCAAGTACGTTTCCGCTGATTTCCGACCAACCGCCTGCAGGGGTACATCATAACATTGAGGCAAGGTGATATTTTTGGGAAGGTTTAATTAAAATTTGACATTTTTTCTGCAGGGTTAATTCGCGAAGAGTATGTTTGCATACAAGCACTGTTTCGAAACCTATTAGATCAGATCTGAGATCCATTAGAAATTAAAGAGAGCCCTTTCTATTAATTATTTGTCTTGTGCAAAGTTTCTTATTAAGGTTGCTTTCAGACTCGAAATCCAATCGAACAGCTACCTGAAACTAAAGACGATAATATGATGGCAAAGCATTCCATCCAGCGTTACCACCCATGACAACGTAATACCAACCAAACCAAATTTGGTTTGTTTTCAATAGATGGTTGCTGAGATATCTTCGTTCACTGGCTTGAATTTCACGTGAATCAATACCATATTTGTTGAAATGGCAAGACGCGACAGATGTTAGTAAAATAATGAAATCTTGTAGACATAAAGCACTAACATTACTCACAGTTTGACAGCTGGTTAAAACTTTCAATGATGGTAGAGACTAGTTGGAAGATCCATAAGGCCTTCAGGGTTGAAGGAATAGTTTAGTCAGTTTTAAAATTATTATGTAACTTTCAAAATAAAGCCAGGCAGCAGCCGAGAAGTTAAAAAAACTCCGAAATTATTATGATAATTTAAAATCAAGGTTTTGATTTATCTCAGAGGTCGTTGAGGTAAATCTCCTCAGCTCCTTCGGGATTGGGTAAGAACTTTTTGAACCCACGTATTAATTATGGAATACCATAATTGTCAAGTATTTCGATCTCCATACAACTTTGCTGCATGCGATAAGATTGTTCTTTTTACGGGTGGTTAAAACAGCATAGAAAAATGAGGTATATATTCTCACAGTGGAAAAAAAAAAGAGATAAAGGATTTTTAGATTATGCTATTCTCAAGCTTGTATATGGAAATTGATTTTTCTTTGTAATATAAGGTTTAAGAGGAACAGCTGTTTATCCTCAGCTTGCTTTTGTACGCCTTGTCGCGTTCGATAATTGCTTCGAACTTCTAATGCCACAAACCTTAAGCCAATTTGGGTATGAAACGCGTGATTGACAATCGAGATTAGCCAAAAAGTCGTTTAAACGTTATTGTATTTACACCAAGCTATTGTTAAAGGATTCTAGTGGATGAGATGGTAACTGCTTGGAATTGACAGAAATAGATATAATTAAACTTCATTATCATGTATGGTGCAAAATCACGAAAATACGGTGAGAATTGTATATTTCTTACCTTAGAATGTATCGCATAATATTTGAGGGCGTTTTACACGAAATAGCTCTTAAGAATGTTTGTTTTTATTCGATTATACACTCTCTCCCGAATAAGTACGAAAGAGAGAGTCTTGTACATATTAATATACTGTATGCACAAGCTAAATGGCATTGTAAAGTTCATACTTTATTGCCAACAATAATCTGACTCAGTCTATACACACGTTTAGCGTTTAACCCTGTCATGCAAATATTACAGACAGCCACTGTGGAATGCAATGTGCAAAAGGTATAATTCAAAAAACAATATACATGTACAGATATACAAAACTTTTATCATAGCATGCTCAAGCTGATGCATATTTCATATCCTCCATTGTGGGCGTACCTCCGCCTCCGCTATGCGTTCTTATCCTCCATCCTATACCATTCATTCATACTAACAACATCGTTTTATCATTAAATAGTGCACTGACACTTTCCCCATTATGCACTCTTCTTATCGCCTCTGCAAAAATGGGAGCAATCTCGAACACCTTTATCTTTGAACATTGTGCCAAATGTTCGTCCTGAGGTATACTGTCGCTCACGATAACTTGATCGATAGAACTCTGCTGAATGCGCTTTATAGCATCACCACTCATAATTGCATGCGTTATAATGGCATACACCTTCTTTGCTCCATTCTCGACTAGAACTTTGGCTGCCCTCGTTATGGTGATCGACGTATCAGCAATATCATCAACCATTATGCACACTTTGTCTCTGACTTGTCCAACCAACATCATATCTGCCTTGTGTGGTTTATGTTGAAGTCGACGTTCCTTGTGAATAAGTGCGAATTCCATACGAAGCTTGTCAGCTATTGCAGTAGCTCTGTAACGGAAAATCGTAAGTGGTTATTTAAACCAAAATTTTCAAACTTGCATAAAAACACAATTCTGTACTCACCTCTTGGCTCCACCAGCATCAGGTGAGACAATCACTGCACTTTCCCAATTAGGAATACTCTCCCTAATATACTTGATCATTAAGGGAAGCCCATACAGATTATCAACAGGAACGTCAAAGTATCCTTGAAATTGCGGGTCATGAAGGTCCATAGTCATAATATGATCAGCGCCTATCAAATACAGATCATTAGGCGTTATGCGATGATTACTACCAAATTGTTCTTCGTTTACGCACCTGCGCAAGTCAACAGATTGGCAATCAATGTCCCTGAACGTGCAACCCAATGTCGATAAGCTCCAGACTTATGCCCCGAGGAAGAGGAAGAGGAAGAGGCCATCAAAGCACTATTATAGTGTCTTAGTTCATTAGCAGAGTCTCCATCGGAAGAGTTTTCTTCACCGATTTTGCTCGACGTTGCATTGAATGGATCTTTTCTTTCATCCATAGGGGTGTTGGCTGTAGACAGGTTCGGAGGCGTATCAAAGATATATCCGAGGAAACTATCCCTGGGAATTCTTGACAGTGGTTCGCCATTTCTCTTGTATGGTGCATCCGGTTGTCGCGCATACGGAAAACACGGAATTACAGCCGTAACTTTGGCAGCAGATGCTATTTTGCATGCTGATATCATAATCAAGAGTTCCATAAAATTGTCGTTAACATGCCCACAGCCTGACTGAACAATGTAGACATCCTTTTCCCGAACACTCTCTCGAATCTCGACATTTGTCTCTTTATTGGAGAATTTAGAAAGCGACACACGACCTAGAGACACTCCTAATCGACTGGCTATCTGCTCGGCTAGTTTTGGGTGCGAAGATCCACCAAATATTATGATATTTCGCATTGGGACAGAAAAAAACTGCAGAAAAAAATAAGAGAGATCGACCAATTCCGTGCTTACATACCCGGTACATTTTGTCCTACATCCAATTCCGTAAATTCTTTAAATTAAGTTTGCGCAGCTGTGGTGATCCCCTTGAACAGTGCTCTCGACTACGCGTTCGTCATGTCTGCGGGCGATATTTTGCGGTTCGCACCCTTCTCTTCGGCTGTTGAAGCAACGTTTTGGCACGCGTTAACCACGCAGAAAATTGATGTTTACAAGTTGGACGACGATCTTAAAGATGTCTTGGGTTACTACTCAACAGGCAACTCTGTTGTGAGTCGAGACCCGGGTGAAGCTGCTATATCGATGCCAGCGCGGTTATGTCTCGGAGCTAATGCCTTTGATCGAAATGAGTCGTCTTCACGGTGAGAGAGCTGTATCGATTAGTGGCAAGAATGACGCTGCATGAAGCCGTTTGACCAAGGTATTATATGATTTGCTATCCTTTATCGTTTCGGACATGTATAGTGGTATCCCACCGTTTTCTTATCCGTCAGTGGGCCAAATAAAAAACACAAACACCATCGAAGAATTCAAACAACTCGACAAACCTGCATTGTTCAAAAGAGTCGCGGATCAAGTAAGATGTTCAATTAAATTCCGTTACTTGCTGCTCCTACTTGTGACACGCTAGCTTATAAATTTCTCTTCTTTTTTTTCCAAGATTTGGCACGATATTGTCTCTGGTGATGCCGTTACTCAGCCACATCTTCTAACACGTTTTCTGCTCATCACCTTTGCGGACCTAAAGAAATACAAATTTCACTTTTGGTTTGCTTTCCCCGCTCTTTTGGCTGATCCTCCATGCGCGCTGGCTGATCAAGGGGAACCAAGGAATGTTACGGAAGTTTGGGATGCTAATGAGGTTAGCTGTTGTGATCGTTATGCTTGCTGGAAGCTATCAAGAACGAATAATATATTAATTTGTATTGACGTCTAGTTGGAGAAGCTGAGTACTGCATATGATGCTTATAGGCAAGAACAAACTGATGGGAACGCTGCATTCTTCTTGATTAAAAAAAAGATTGAGGATGGGGATGATGAGAAAGACTTTGCAGTTGGCAGGCTACAGGACTGGAATACCTTCTTTGAAGGTGTAGATCATAATGAGGTACTTCTAACTATAATATGTGCATTGTTTAGATAGTCCGATCAATTATTCATCTTTGTTTCGTCATCAGAGAATTGTAGGTTTTGCCGATCCGTCAAGTCTACCAGCAAACCCTGGTTGGCCTCTTCGTAATTTCTTAGTACTGCTTCAACATCAGTGGCTTGTTAAACAAATAAAGGTATTATGTTTTCGAGAAATTCCTGGAAAGAAAGATATCTCGCAAAGTATCTTTTTGACTGTCAAGTTGCCGGAGTCCGTATCCGCAGGTCAGATACGCTTATGTTCTTGGAATTTTTTGGCGATTGCATAACTAATTTTCTAAAAATATACGAATATTAGATGAAAACCCAAAAGCTGTGGGCTGGGAGAAGAATCCACAGGGCAAACTGGGACCTCGCACGGCTGATCTGGCTCCTTTGATGGATCCCAAACAGTAAGCCATACGGCACTCCTAAATCCTAATCTTTTGCAAGAAAACAATTTGATTTAAATATGGGTCTCATAACTAGGCTTGCGGATACATCAGTTGATCTCAATCTCAAGCTGATGCGATGGCGAATTGTTCCTGACCTCCAATTAGAGAAAATTAAGGACACAAAATGTCTATTATTGGGGGCTGGTACTTTGGGATGTTATGTTGCTAGGAGCCTTTTGGTACGTAGATGGTTTGAGTAAAAAGAAATGTCATGACAATGGCCACGTAATAAGGGGCGGACTGATCAGTTGACTTTTGATTAACTCTAGGGATGGGGGGTACGAAACATTACCTTTGTTGACAATTCTCGAGTGTCATTTTCAAATCCTGTGAGACAGTCTTTATACGTGTTTGAAGATTGTTTGGATGGTGGGAAGTTAAAAGCTAAAACTGCCGCCGAGAACCTAAAGAAAGTTTACCCCGGCGTTGTAAGTATAATAACATTTGTCTATATAATTGATCTGACTCAAATTGACTTTGTACTCATTGGACCTTTTAACTTATAAATAAGAATACCGAAGGATACCATCTCAACATACCAATGCCAGGACATGCAATTACCAATGAAGCGCAAACGCGCGCTGATGTTGAAAAATTAACTCAGCTCATTGAAACTCATGATGTGATTTTTCTACTAATGGATAGTAGAGAAAGTAGATGGCTTCCTACCCTGCTGGGAGCGAGCATGAAAAAGGTTGTGTTCGATGCATTTATTTCGCGCTTTTCATCAAGTTTTCTGACTCTAGAATATTACTTTGCAGCTAGTTATTAACACAGCCTTGGGATTTGACACATATCTTGTAATGAGGCATGGTGTTGAAGACGATGATAATCAGACTCCAGCTATTGGTTATGATGGGACTGATTTACCTTATGTAAAACGTTTGGGATGCTACTTTTGTAACGATGTTGTGGCACCGACTGACTCGCTCAAAGATCGTACTCTTGATCAACAATGTACTGTCACTCGTCCTGGATTATCAGCTATTGCTAGTGCTATGGCTGTGGAGTTAATGATCTCGGTATTGCATCATGAGAAAGGGTAAAGACAAATATGTTATTAAGTTGGTCGATGTTGACTTTAATGATGTATTCTCTAAACTGAACGTTTATTCTCTAGCCCTGCAGCACCCGCGGATACAGCTACGTCACAGTCCAAATCATCTACTCCGCTTGGAATTATACCTCACCAGATGCGGGGATTTCTTGCTGAATTCAATAATATGATCATTGTTGGCCAAGCTTATGACAAGTGTACTGCATGCTCGGATAGAGTATTAAAAGAGTATAATGTCAATGGGTTTGAATTCCTGAAGAATGCATTCAATTCTCCTTCATATTTGGAAGAACTGACAGGCTTGTCCCAACTGCATGAAGCCAGTGGGAACATAGACGATTTTATTTGGAATGACGATGAGGATATTTAGAGGAAGGGAATTATTAAGAATTTAATTTATTTACAGATTGAAATGGATAACTTATTTTATTAAATTGGCCTTGCATCTCTATTATATCATTCATGAGTTAATCAAGTGAACGTCAAATAAACTTAATTCATTTTAAGGTTAAGTTTCAATATTTAGTTAAATCAGTATTAGTATTTGGTTTTCGATTGCCCGATATGGCGGAAGAACTTGACGTTGTCCTTTTAAAACAATGCCCTTAAATAATTTCGGGCTTGGCTATACGAAGCATTTGATCACCAGTTCAAACATTGGATTTGCGATGCATTGTTCGAACTATAAATGGCTTTCATAATAAGGCTTTATTCGCATAGAAAGCCAAACACTAAATGTTAGTAAAATACAAACAATTCTTTATCATCTAAACATTAAATAAATACAGTGTATTAACATAAAATAATTCGTATTCTCCACACTAACGAGAAGAATGAAGAAGTCAACAGATGAAATTAGAAAATAAATGTTCTTTGCAATAGTCTCTTGAGTAGTATGTTGGGGGAACAGGCCCCAATGCAACAAGGATATAAGAATGGAGTGTCTAATTAGATGTTGATAAATTAATAATGCACATATAAGTTGTTTTTGTAGAAGTTGCAGCCGAACTCGAATAGATTACAGAATTAAGCACGAACATGAACATTTTGGAGCATCTGCTGACCCTGGTTCTGATACAACAATAAAAATATTAATTGTTAGAGGATTTATGTGAAAGGTGAGTAAATAAAGCACGATATTTTCTTGGATCCTTTTGACATAGAATGCTCGCACACTATGCATATCCAGCTTAACCGCCTACCTTCATCCTCGGGTGGAGAAATGTCTTTGATCGTCAAATGGGCAGTCGTATCTTGGCCAGGTTCTATTTTATTAGCTATAAAAGAAGAACGTGTTACCGAGAGGAAATATATACAATTTTCGTGCTCCTTCCTACTAAATGCCGCTCATGCGCTTTAACCTATACACCGATCGATCTTACATTTTAGCGTTGTGTCATCGTTCAAGAACTTGCCCATATACAGAATTCTTAGATTGGATGCCGATAATGGCGGCCTCTCATCGGACCACTCTAAATTTAGGAAAGCAAATTTATAATTAACAATTATATCAGAATTAGAGATCATTTCATTGAGGTTTGAATAAAAGAATAAACTCAGTGTCGAGAGGGACGGAGTACGGTCAATGCAGAAAAACATTGGCAATTGATCAAGCGCCTATACCGTCAAGTTTCATAGTTTCATAGTTTCAATGCACCCGTTGAATTCTTTTTTTTTTCTTCGATCTCTACCAATTCTTACTAGACCAAAACCCTCTCGTCACATTCTCCTCGCATTCAAATATTTTTGCTTACCTCCTGGCCATGTGTCGAAAACTCTGTCTTTTACAGTCTTTATGGTCTCATTCGGGTCAAACTTGAATGTATGCTTCTTTCCAGAGATCAGTAGCAAAGTCAAAGTAATATCCTTGTCTTCCTCGCCTTGTTTTTCTAAACCGTCTTTTGTTTCTTCGTTCGATTGTTCATTAGTTTTGTCGGATTCGTCTGCGGGCTGTGTCGGCGAAGAAGTAGCAGATGCAGGTGGCGGGGGTAAAGATTTGTCGAAAGAACTTATAGCTGTAGTCGTGACAGTAGTAATGATACTGGTATTGGCACTGGTGGTAGCAACAGTGGTAGTTTCCTGTGTCGTTAGACTGGTTTGCTGCTCTGGTTGAGACATGGTGTCAAAATAAGCGATGTATAATGTATAAGAGGTTTTACTGGCAAGTATGTGAATAAATATATTAGAGCCAAGGCAAAAGACGATAGAGATATTGATTAAATATGCGGGATATGGAAGAATAGCTTGTAATTTCGGTGATGTATATTATATATATTGATGACTCGATCTTGAGATGTCCACTAGCTCTGCTATGGTGGAAAAAGGTGGCTTGTGGATATATTTCCGCAGAGACAACGAGATGAGTGGTTTAGGTAAATCGTTTGTTGTGTGACGCTTATCGGCCAATAATGGAATGACAGGGGTGTCCACACTAATAGGATTTTCGTAATTGCATGAACCAAGACCACAGAAAGTATGTCAGGGATTCACACAACTGAGCGCCACTTCTTTTTTTAAGTAAACAAATAACAATGATGTCAAACTAATACATTCTAAGCATAACAAAAAACCATGTCTATCAGCTGTGAATCATAATGTATCTTGTAGTAAAAACATCCACTCTACAATGTTAAAATAGGCATTGGTCTCTTATACTGGTTTATGAGAAAGATGACGAGTTGCATGGTTAACACTTTTGCCAGAAACTCGGTATTTGTAAATCTCAACGACGAAATTCTTACTACATTCTTTTCCATTCCTTTAACATTCTCTGTGAATTTGTAATGTATTATTTTTTTATTGCTCCCAAATAACATCAATTAATGTCCTAGATTTGTTTATCAACTACTGCAGTCAGAGACTGTCTTATTTCTTAAAGCAATCTCCTCGAGGCATACGCGTCTACTCACAATTTCTCGAATAACTCGCAGCGTAAAAATAAGCCAACCTCGTTTATTAAGAACAGCGAGTATTGATTTTTTTTGTAGCTTCCAATTCTCGTATTGCATAAAACCATCCGAATGGAATAAAAGCTTATCATGTCTTGTTATAATTTACATTTCAATTCCAAATTCTTTAAACACGTTCTCAACTCTTCTCTTGTACTCTGCCAACAACCTCTCGGCATCGTTATCCTGTACTGGACGTCGTATGGCATCAGAAATTGCTTTATCCTTATCACGGCCATCTTCCTCGTCCTCGTTGCTATTCTCTATTTTACCATCTTCTGAAACATTCTTACATGCACATTTCTTGGCTTTTTTTGGTGATACCTGAACAAAATAGTCTTTGGTAAATGTTGTATCAGCTGTTATATCCGCAAGCTCCTGTTCTAAATCTTGCAGATTTTTCAGTGATTGTGACGACAAAGAATTCACGGAAGCAGAATCATTTGTTGGGTTCGAATAGATTTCCGTAAGAGTACTGTTGATTATCAATGTTGGCGTCAATACATATATGTACTCACCAAATAATCAAATAACGATCTGCCTCTCTTTTGCGCGATGTCCATACTACCTTAGATACCCTCGCAGCCTTCCAAACTCCCTTCCAAATCTAGCACCCTCTATAAATCCCTGATTAAATCCTTCCTGTATTGTGACTTCTTTTCCTTCTTCTATTCCTTCCCTATACCCAATCTAACCGTCGAAAGTCTCATAAGAATAGTACACACATTTTAAATTAACTTGACAAGTACGTAACTCACATTTCCAAACTCTTCGCCCATTTTCCTCCATTGACGGGATGTTATTTCTCTGTCATAAGATACATTAGACAATTCTGTATCATCTGCCCAGATGTCTTCATCGGATGCTGACGATGCCATTCTAGGCAGTGAGCATAGAAAGATGGTGGAAATAATAATACTAAAGCTTGCGTCAACAATAATAATTCGCTCAAATCACGTGGATTGAATATGTCACATGTCGTCAGTGCATTTACTTTATTTACAGTTTTGCCACGAATATTAGTTCAAAATTAAATTACAATATTGGTAATAGCAAAACGAATCAAGAAAAAATATGCATTGAAAAGAATTTCACTAGTGTACAATTTGCTGGCACATTATCACATGTTCACAATACTGTCTAATATTTCTTGGTTTTTCTATAATAAATTCCGTCTCTTCGATAATCAAAAACTATTTAGTATTTCAACTAATTCTTCTTCCTCTTGCCGATGAATTTTTGTTAACTGAACATTATGTCTAATACATTTTTTTCACTCTAGAGCTTCGAACAAATATTTACCAGAAACAGGAGAAAGTTACTTTGCGGTCTGTCTACGCATTATACTCATGCGTTAGTTATTTTCTTTCTTGTTAAGAAAAGACTGGTTTGTACAAGACCGTCGTCACGTACTAAAAAAAATCCGATTTAAACGACAGCATTAGTTCCACGTACTCCTTGATCTATTTTTCTCTATTCAATACCTCCTCACATACAAACCTTCTTTCGATATCGCGTGGTAGATGCAACAGCCATGACACCGTCTCGTATAGAACAAGCGTACAAGTGGTTTAAAACGACATGGTTAGGCACCGGAAGGCTACTATTGTCATCCTTTGATGCCGAAGACGAATTCAATATCACGCGTTCCAAGTGAGGTGGCAATAGTGGTGGTCGAGCGTCTATGCATTCTCCAGCATCCGATAGATCATCGGGTGCGTCATCGTCCTCTGGATTTTCAGATTCCACTAGGGAACGTTCGTAAGCTAATAAGTAGTCGGGTATGTGTGACGAGTAGTCACCTGGCGGAGTTCCACATCTTAAGCCTGTAGTAATCGGTTGGGATAAGTTGGCGATTATTCATTATTGTTCTGTCAAGACTGCACTATAAATATCAACCAACATAAAACACATTCCCTCCGCTCCCCCAACCCTCATTCTCTTTCCCTCTTCACAAATAATCAAACACCCACCACCCGGAGCATCCACGTCCAATTCATCGTTTGGTAGTTCATTCTCTTCTTCTTCAAACACCTCGAGATAATTAACCAAATCTCCATTTGAGTCTGTCGCCGTCTCCAGCTCGTTCGAGCATTTCCATTCATCGTCGACAATGAATTTTAATTTATGCGTTCCAGGAGGAAGGTTTATTACCGTTGTAAAGTCACTAGTGCTGAATTAGAATAAAAAAAAGTTAGTCGTGAGATCCCATAAAAGATTGGGGAAAACGTGACGAAAATGATTAAAAACAAAACAATGATAAAGTTGTATTCGTTGGTATTTTTATGAAACTACTAACTGAATGCTGTTCGTTCTGATTTGTTGTTCGGTGTTGGATTCGCATTGGTTACCTTTTACACAATCTAATGTTGTGTTTCCAATCATTGAATGTACCCGTCACGCAAACGTTGTTCCCTCCCTGACTCCAGGTTATAATCGTTGGGATACCCTTGTCTTTGTCTGATTCTTTGCAAGGTACAGATACGAATAAATGTGAGCTAGAAGTTTGATCCACGAATATAATTTCATTCTCTTGTATTTAATTCGAATTTCTGTTTCGTTATAATCAAATCTTGTTCGATCCCACTGTACATTCTAATCGAATACTCACCCTTTGCGTCAACACTAGTTAAAGCACTGACACCTCCAACGCCGAAATCATGTACTATCTTATTACTATTCTTGTAACTGGTTGGCTCAGCAGCAATAGTTTCCGCTAAAAGGTCACTCTCGTTAAAGCTAGAAGCTAAGCTCCCAGTTCCGCTGAACGTCTCTTCCTCAAGCTTTTGAAATTCTTCTACCGAGTTGTCTATTAATTTAGCTGGGGGTATGTCTATTGTATTGGAGGATACTGGACGTTGCGAGGGCGAGACAGTCAAAGTAGAGGAAGGGACTGGAGATTGTGGGCGCGTGCTGATCTCCGTCTTTGCTGCATGAGTGCGCGAAACCGGTGGATGAGCGCGAGGTAGTGGCGTGCGACGTGGAGGCGAGTTTGAATGAGTGTTGCCCATCAATCGAGTTGGAGAAAAGTGAAGTTTTGACAATCATCAAGGATTTTGTCACCTGTTTGTTGTACGTAGTTCCTATATGGCAACGACGCCACAAATAATCAAAAAATGTCAAAAAACCGTAACTGGGACATAAACGATTATGTGAGCTAAAAATAGTCATTTGTTGCTTCGGCAAGTAATTCGTGACATCTATTTGAATGCTTAGATTTATGAAATCACAACCCAGATAGTAATGCAATATGCTAATAATAATAATGTCAGAATATCAACAAATTAACCTTGGAACAGAATTTGGAGGATATTGCATAGTATCCATAATGTCGATATTTATTAATAATCAACACTGTCACTTTGTATTCATAAATGAGATAACGAGCGACGCCTGAAAAATCACGTATGAAAGGAACCTGCAAATTGTAGATGGATGAATTATTACTATTGTAAATTACAAAATCGAGGATCACTCATAACAGAGACCTTGAACCAAAAGGTAAGTAAGCATTCAATAACACAATAACATACCGTTGGTATATGTTTCTCGCGGGTTAGGAAAACAAATATGTAGTAAAACCAACTTTCAATATCACAAAGTAGTACAAATTTTAGTTAATGAAATGACGCGGCTGCTTACATAAAAACTTTTTATTCTTTTAATTAGTAAACAAAGCAAACATCTAGTGATATATAATTACAAAGACTTCAATTTTAGTATTCAATGAAATCTATATTTATATATTTTTGAAATATGGTGAGTTTTCACTTAAGAATGCAATGACGCATTGCAATTAACTTCTATTATAACTAACGTAAATTTCGTAAATCTTTATCTTCGACGTAAGCCTTTATTTTTCGCTCAAGCTGGGTGATCACTCACTTCTGTCTGGGCACTGTATTTCTGCTGGAGGAACATTCAAAAAACTTAAAACTCCTAACACAATTATCACTGTTCAATTTAAATACAATTGAGTTTCAGTTCCTTATTGAGCACCCATGGGTTTAAATACAATTGATATTTGCTGCTTTACTCGAATGCTAAAACGTATAAACATAAAATTTCCAACAAACTTTAAAAATACTACACTACCGGGTAATTGCAGGTGATTTTCCTAGCTTTCTGTTCAATCAATCTCGTGATTCTACTAGATCTCGTATACAGTGTGTATGATCAGGAGAATGTTTGCTTTTTTTTTTGAGAGATAGTAAATGAGTAGTAGTTAATTCTACTTCTCGAACATTTACGAGGTTCGACATTGTGATTATTAACTTAGCCCTAGCTAGTTCCGTCGAACCTCGTAAGAACGAAGAACTAAACTAGAACCCTCAGCCTAATCAGACACTCATATTTTTATTTATTTTTTTGTATTTTTGAGAAGGGGAGTCTTAAACTTCCCTATAAAATTAAATTATATAATAAAGAGAGTTGATTACTCTTTACACCATCAACTTGTGAAGACGTAATTTTGATTTTTCATTACTTAATGTTTGCCTATGCTTGTCAATTAAAATTCCTTCTTGTCGCATGCCTGATTCTCCAAGCGGCAGACATAAATTTTCCAGGAATCACCATAAACAAATTTATAAGAATTATATCGCGTACCGTATGTTTCTTACCAATGGCACCAATTCTTTTCAAATCCTTCAATAGAAAGTTCAATTTACATTAAACAAGCACATACGTTTTTCAGTAGGAGTGATGTTATCAGTGGTATTCATTGAATCAAAAATGAAAACATATCGACGATGCGAAGTGTGTTTCTTAATAAGTAAAGTTTATTACTAATGTTCTTCCTACCCCCTTCTAATGACATTAATAAATGGTTTTGTATACGTCGTAGTATCAAAGTGTTTCCTTCTGTAACAGTTCTAAGTCTCCTAATATCTAATTACCGTCGCAAGTAAAAGTACAGATATCGTGGTAAGCAAATGAAATGTTTGACCATAACTCACGAGTATTAGCGAACCTCACCTGAGTTGTATCTAGTGCTCAAACATATGTGAGAGAAAAGACAGAGACATATTACATAGCTCAAATATTGGTAACCGTATAGGAAAGACATCTCCATGAAATTGGAAGTTTACTGCTCCATATCGTTGATTCGATAGCCCCTGCCTGGCGTTCTCAGACCGGATTCGAAAGCAAGATGTTTTCTTGATCCATTGTATGGACATGTAGTACTGTCAAAAAGGTGATAGATATGAGTAAACCCATTACACTTGGCCGATAAATTTTTGCTGCAAATAACCAATATTGCCCATTAGAAATAACAACCCGATACACTACCTATAGTCTTTTCATACGACTGATCTTCAATCCCAAGACGTTAAACAACAATGGTACGTTAGAGATCCTTCAGTAACCTTTTTTTTTAGACAAGAGTTTTGATTTCATAAGCGACTGGATATTTTCAAAACATCCCTCTTCCCCACAAGATAGAGACTAAACAAAAGTTATTACCGATATCGACTCTGTCAACTCCCGCTTTCGTAGTTGTAATCTCTGAAATACTATGATCGTTTACATTTGCCGCGCGCGGGTTTTAATCAAAGCTTAATCAGCTATTATTGATTGCTACTAAACGTAAACTTAATTAAAACATAATACGTTAATTAAAGTTACCAAACTTTCACGTTGCACAAGTTGGTCAAAGTTGTTATAAGAACGCAAGTCCAACCCCTTACCAACATACTGTCAAATAACATGTTTTTTCCCCCGCAGACTCTTGACCATATTACTACCCTTGTCCATACTCACCAGTATAATTTTGAGCCAGAGTTACTAGCCCAAGTGGAGGTCCAATCAGTTTAGCATAGCTGTGGTGAAGAATAAGCTGTAGCCGGCCTTCCTTTATTTTATTTACTCGACCCTTGTATATTATGGGTATTCGTCCGTTTGTTCTTCTACTTGTCACGAATCTAGTCAAACGACACTAAAATATTGGGTTGACTTAAACAAACGTCTAAAAGAGTTAAGGCTTCTTCAAAGTCTTTTATTTTGTTTTTTCTTTCAATCCAAAAGGGGTACATATCTAAGTGTATTGAGAAGAGTACCGTGGAGCACTGAATATAGTACCCCCCTTAAATAGTACCCCCCTTAAATAAGGACCCGGGTACAAATAGTTTATCGTACGTCACGTGTTACACATAACCTTCTCTTGATATAAAATGATTGCAAGCTTTTCTAAAGCATTCCAACTTCGGCAGCTCTTTTAGCTAAGAAGTAGAGATAAATTCTGATACAGTAAAACTTGACCAATCACATCACTCTGTGAAGTACCCCGCTCAAATAGTACCCTCCGCACACAGTATAATTCAAAAACTTGGGGTACTATATTCAGTGCTCTATGGTACTTTGAAATTCCTTCACAGAGTGATGTGATTGGTCAATTTTACCATAATAAGCTCATCAGCTAACGCGATGGCGTCTCGCGGAAACAGTGAAAGAGCTACTATAACCGAGAAAAAGCGCCGAAGTTGGAATGCTTTAGAAAAACTTGCAATCGTTTTGTATCAAGAGAAGGTATGTAGAATACGTCACCTAATCAAACCGAGAAGTTGAAGATGGAAAATGTTTCGCTTGTTAATAACCATATAACCATTGATATAAACAAGTCGGCGATAATCATTATGATGAGAATGAATTGAATTACGCAAATCTTTGGGATAATTAGTTCCTACATAGTTGGTTTGCGTTGTAGTTGATTTCTCTTTTGATTGCTGCTAGAATTTGGTTGATTAGCTGTTGCCAGACAGTCGATTTTTAGTTGGTTGTATAGATTTATTATGCTTTCATCGAGTTTGTTACATTAATGAGTAAGAGTATTCGGGAAGGTTTATCAAATACTATTCAGAAGATGTCACCATAGACGTACACCTATCGGTCATGGTGGATATACTATATATTAATTGTTACTATTATATAGTCTTCAACAAATATTCTTATCCAAGAGGGCATCACAAAAATAACAGAAATATGGCATATATTAATCCATTATCTTTTAAAAACAAATCTTATAAATGTGATTCTCCTTTTCTTGGAACATCCAAATATTATATTGATCTATATTCTAAATGCTGGGATGAAGACTCTAACAAATGCCCATCAATTCAAACAGTAAACAAACTACTCAAGTCATTGATTACCCAACCACCAATTTACATATGGGGCAAACTGCAACAAAACCGGACAAGTAAACATTTGGCTATGTGAGTTAATACTGGTTGATGTGGCAGAAAAATTAACTAAGTGACTGATAACATTTGGGAAAACTTTTTTGGTGGCACATAAACTATCTCAGATTTGTTATGGCAGTATGACTGAAATTTAACTTTATTTTAATTGAAACTGGCACAGAGATATATATACATGCAGCGAATTGGACAGCATATCAGACATTCAGCTCATAAGCCTGATTTTTGAATTATAATTATGTCATTTTTTAAAAGTTTCATTCATTAGCCCTCGATGTCTCCGAGAAAAACGCCAAACTCAAACGGGTATATAAAGATGTATTAAAGTTCGATATTAATCGCAATCTGAGGAACACATCTCGATAAATCAAAATACAAAAATTTCCGTGTTGCAACTACACTGTTATATATTTTTCACAATATTCCTCTGCTTTGAGAAAATTTCCGTATACACAGAGCGGTCGGCAATCATTTCACCGACAAATATTATTCTTTTCGGTAGTTAATTGTCGGTGAAATGGTAGGACCCCACAGAGCATATTCTCTGGAGCGTTTAAATGACGGTCGATTAGGTTCACAAAATGAATAATATACATTGTTTTTTTTTTTTATATTTATTTGATCAATTGTTCTTGAGTTTTAGCATTGTTCTTCTACATTCAATACATTTGACCTTACAATGATAACATTCCAAACTAGTACATTTGTAACATTCACAGCATTTAGTACATAATTCTCTCATTACATCTACGATGTTTTTCCGATTACAAATCTTATGTCGACACGCCCGTGCCGTGCAGTTATCGCAATAC